AAATGAAAATAAATAAACTAAGAAAAATATAGTATGTATTGTAAGACATATCATATTAATATTTTCATTCATGCCATTGCATCAAATACTAATTTATGTAAACGTATTTACAAGTTTGTATTCATCAGCACCTTTTTTTGCTAGAAAATATTCTTCTTCGCGTCAAACACAAATTTTAAAATACACTCTTTCGCAAAAAAATATTGAAGAAACAAGAAGGACTTTTGTAATCGGGACGAAATTTGGTATGCAAAAACATCTTGATCGAACATGCAACTGATCAAAGCTTCAAGGGAAATAAACAGGAATTGTGATCATAGAGCGCATTTCTAGTGAGCAATTCGCAAAATATGAAACCAGTACCAGAGGCGGAAAATTTATCTTGTTTTGTTGCTGCCATTGTAATTCCGTAAAGAAGCAACTAAAGACGCCATTACGACGATATCGAAAACCTTACAGACAACTAAACGATTTCGAACGTGGTCGCATTGTAGGATTGCGTGAAGATGGGGGGTGATACCGAGCAATAGGCCACCACCTGCAGCGTACAGACACTGCTGTGCAAAGATGTTGGCAGCAATGGTTGCTACAAGGAAATTGCCGACGAAATGAAGGTTCTGAAAGGCCAAAGAGCACAAATGGAAGGCAAGATAGGATGATTGTTTGCCAGGCCCGAACCGCCCCAAGGATATCACTGTCGACTATTCAACGCACTACAGCTACATGTATACCTCCCATGGTACCGTCCACCCTCTCACGGCGCTTGTCTGAGGGGGGTTACACTCACAGAGGCCTTTAAGACGTTTGCCTTTGACCCCACAACATCGGCGGAGTCGTTTGGAGTGGTGTCGCAGCCTATCACCATGGCTGCCATCAGACTGGCATCGTATAGTGTTCAGAGATGAATCCCGCTTCACTCTTGAAGCAGATGACCACTGCGTTCGTGTCTGGAGAGGACGGGGCCAGCCGTCCCAATCAGCCTTTGTTTTACAAAGGCATACGGCCATAACCCCTGGTGCGATAGTGTGGGGCACTATTTCTTATTACAGCAGGTGATCTTTAGTCATCCTCCGTACATCTCTAACAGCTGAACGATATGCTGATACCATCCTGAGGCCGGTTGCATTAACTTTCATGGCACGTCATCCTGGGGCCATTTTCCAACAAGATAATGCCAGGCCACATACCGCTCGCATATCTCTGGACTGTCTCCGTGCGGTTGATACTCTTCCTTGGCCAGCAAGATCACTAGACCTTTCACAATCGAGCATGTCTGGGACATAGTAGGCCGCCAGATTCAGGCACCACAAAACATCGCACATCTGGAGCGACAACTGATGAATACCTGGCAGAATGTGTCTCAGGGTGACATTAGGAACCTCTACTACTCCTTGCTTCGACGAATTCAAACATGTATTGCCGCCAGGGGCGGTTCGACCAACTATTAATTTGAACACTCAATTAGTGAGCCGTGAACAGGTACTATGACCTTGAGTTTTAATCATTTTATTGTCTGTGTATGAGCTATACACATATTCAATTTCATCAAAAACAACTACTTCCTTCATGGTGCTTCGAGTTTTTTGCAAAAGAGCGTATTGCTTTCTGAGAAGGCAGGTACCTGCAGTTAACAGTTATCATGTTAATGAGAGACATGAATCAGTTCTGTTGAAGAGGTTCTTTTAGATTGAAAGCGTGATTCTAGAAATAGAACTACATTTCTCAAATATTTTTTAATAATTCTAGAAAAACTGCTTATTCTATCAAACAATATTTTATTGAAGATTTCGCAGTGTCTTGTTCATTAATTACCACTGCCACTGCGCAAAATATTTTTCTTAAAATTTTTAATCGTATACGCAATGTTTTGAAGAAGGTCGACAGTTTTGAAAATGCATGCATTTTAAATCCCATGTCATATACATATCTGGATAATACTGAAATGTTTATTACTGAACACTTTTAAACTAAATTATGTTATGAAACTCTTTATGCGTGAAGGTTAAAATAGGTATGGTTTGCAGATCTAGTCCTTGGCATCTGTTTGAACCCAGGATTTTTTACGGATACAATCTCTTTATTGAAGACATCCAATGTCAACAAGTATCTTGGAAATTTTTACGTAAATTATGATCTTTCCGAAATTATGATCTCCAGGACAAGACTTGCTTATTTAAACTTTTTCAATATGTAATGTGATCAAATCCTCCTTTTGCAAACGCACAACGCACATTAAAATTTTTGAATTTACTGATGTTATATGAAATGAATAATGGATTTTATATTTGAAAGAAATGCATAAAAGGCTAGAACTGTATCAGTTGTAGACAAGACCTCCTTACGCGACAGTTCAATAAAAATATATACATTATAACTTCAATTGACTGAACTTCGCTTAACCATAAAGACAGAGCAAAGTAACATAGAATCTGTGAGTCCGAAAACCCAGTCTTCGTTAATTTTGCTTTATATACATATATTTTAACACTATTTTTATTTAGAATTATTTATTTTCTATTTTATTAGAAGTGAATACAAATTTCTTAAGAGATGATTTTAGCTGACTACATACAAGAATAGCGAAATATAAATTTTCTCTTTAGGAGCTGGATTTCAAACATCTATCTTTATTTGGTGGTCTATGGCAATTAAAACTGTTTTTGTGTTAAACGAATCCGTTGAAAGTAATCTGAATCTGTAATAAGGGAAGGAGCAAAAGTTTCAATGATCTGTAAAATAAGTCTATAAGGATTTTTTGTTTTACGAATTTTTATTTTATTTTAAACTTTGCTATTCTCTATTAGTTTCAATTTTCGGCCAGAATAAACTCGAGTAGTATTTTTATGTTAACGAGTTTGCAAACTGTATAGTATTTAAAAAGCGTCTTCTAGCCAAGAGAGAGAAGAACCTTCCAGCTGGCCTGCTACGCGCGTGCTTTTCAGTCAGTTCATGTCTGCCTTTAAGGCCAGAACTTAGTTCATGTTGATAAACGAGACGTATTGTAGTATTTTGCATTTCGCGCACTACATATACGTAGTGTCAAAAGGCCAATCTTCGCGTTAATAGTCTCTGTACAGAATTTAATTCTTATTAAGTTAGTTATTCGAATATTTCTTATTTTCTACGTTTTAGACAAAAAGTGTTGGTCTCTGTAACCCGAAGTGCAGGAGAGCCTGTAGGCTGTGAGAAATTAAAGGATAAAGTTAACTCTTCTTACTTCTGCTATCTATTCCACGCACACACGAACATAGCTTGAGTAAGCTTCCTGTTTTCTTTCAGGATTTCTAGATGTTTCCGAATACAAATTGGAAAGGCTTCGGCAATTCAATAACAATATCGGATTGATAAAGATTAACCGCGATCACATTTAGCGGCGCTCACTGCGTCAATAAACTCTGCTTAGCAAATAAATAAAGCCAACATTTCCTGTTAAGAGTTTACACTGTGAATCACTGCAACAGACGAAAACCCATCCAGCAACTCTTTCAACATGATCATCTTTTCGTCCCACTTACCGACTATCCAACCTTTTCAAAGCTTTTTACTCAGGGGCTACCCCCACAAGTTATTAAACAAAAGCTCCCCACTACCAAGCCTTCAATTTATATGCACACATCAATCTTCTTTAGAACTTACCTTACCAGTGTGCTAGCAGAGTACCAACTGTGTCAACACAAAGTGCCGTCGAATGCCTACATCACCTTCCAACCTACTGCAATGCATGGTACACCGCACGTATACATCATGCACCAACTCCGACTATGCTTAAGCACTAGTGCACACATGAGTGGTGACCATCAGTACATACACCGTGACTTAGATAATTCTCATAAACTGTTCACTGTCATAGTAACTGTGCAACCATTTTGACTGTACTCAAATTACTGTGATAACATAGTGTCTGCGCTGTAACGACTGTACCAACCTATAGCAATTGCGTTAAAACTTAGTGACTGTGCCAAACTCCAAATTTAGTGCTATTAGTACCACAGTGTATACTAAATTTTAGTGTAGCCTGAACTCTTGCAAATTTGAAGTATAGGGCAGACTGTACTTTCAGCGAACTCTAACACTAAGTCCTGGCACCATAACTCTACATCCGGTACTCATTGCTTCATCTCTGTGTTTAAGTACTCACAGCACACTTACAACCACAAGGATACCAGCAATACACATATGACTCCCTTTACCCCATTCTGTATTTTAGCATTTTTTTAGTATTTTACGTTTTTACTCTTGTATTACTATCTTACATATGTGTCTCTCTTCATATTTTTTCTTAATATCAATGCATCCTTATGTTCGTATCTGTTAGTATTTGTTTGTTTTTGTCTGTATATGTATCTATTCTTGTATTTGTTTTGTATATTATTATGTATCTGTGTTATTCCAACGGCCATGCACACCCACAAAGCTATTGTCACGTAACCATTGTCAAACAATAATCCTCAACCCCTGTTTGGCCATGTATTGATCTTTAGATCTGTATTATAAACTCCCGAGGCAGCCTCACGGGGCCCCAGGGGGCTGTTGTTCCTAGATAGGGGAGGGCGTGAGACACACGCTTGTTTACCTATGTTAAACACTAGGCGTCCCCGTCCTCCGTCCCCTATGAAAAAAGAAACAGTTATAAATGAATTCTAAATTTATGAAGATGTACTTCTGGACAGTAGAAGTACCGGAGACTAGCAATAATGCATTGCTGACATGAAGAACAGGCAAAATATCATGCAACTAATCAGCTATCAGGTATAAAACTTTCAGCAAGAGAGATCCAACGAAAGTGTGACAGCATTTTAATGTGTAACTGAGGGGAGTTAATTAAACATATTAAATACTAATTGTTATAAATGTTGCCATAAGACCATAAGAAAATTTCACATGCACAGGCGAAACATACTACTAATAGTTAAAATAATAAAAATCTAAACTCTTAATTTGTAAGTTGTCCAAATAATTAAGACACTTCTATTGCATAACATTCTGGAAAATATTCTTACCATTGCTCCTCTGTAATAGGCTGTTGTCAGTGTTCGGAACCTTTCTTGACCAGCAGTATCCCTGAAAAAAATTTCTTTTTCGTTTATTAATAGTTTTATACTAAAAACAAAGTTAATGTTTTTCATTTTACCTAGTACATAAGGAAATTATTTTATATGAAGAAGTTGCACATTAATGCCCATATGAAGCCACTCGTAAAAACTATCAATTCAAAGGAAAATATCACTTCAACTCGGTAGTTAAATAACAATACATAATGATGAAGATTTAAATTGGGAAAGCATATAGAGAAATCAAATTCAAGTTAATTACATACAGAATTATAAAAGTTAACTGTACTTGTGCACTTTCTCGTCGACCATGAAACCCAGCTGTTATCCCGCCACACTTGAGGTAGCAGTCATTCCGGCGGAGGATTGAAGGAACAGTTAGTTACCTCTTGATTTAATTCGATAATCAATAATACAATTTAGCACATTAGCATACATACGTTTTTCAAAATCAGGATTCTGTAACTTTGAAATTACTCTACTACCTGCTCTTCCATAGAAGGAAGGTCCAAAATGTTAATAATGTTTCCCAAAATCCGAAAGGAAAACACAGAAATAGCAGATAACCTTACATTCTTCTTTACAAAACTAAACTGGATTATAGAGGATTGATCTTCTATACATAAAACAAGACCAAAAGCACTATCCACTATAACAGCGGCTAAATCACACTGTTTCGAGGTATTTATGTTTGTCAAAAATAGTGGACGGAAAAGAACGCAAGTATGAAAATGACAATATTTTACGTTTAAATATTTTAATAAGTAGTTATTAAGAATCCCTTTCTAAAAGCGTAATGAAAAATACGTTGTTTAAAAAGGCAGTTTCTTTTTAAACCCAACTTAATTCTTAATGTTAGACACTAAACATAATTTCGATCAAAATTAATGAAAACTTAAAGTAACTGATTACATTTTCCAAACTCATTCTAAAAAAAGTAGAACTTTTTACTAGAACTCACTAGAACTAGAACTCACTAGAACTTTTTACTCCCTTAAAATCCTAGTTAAAGAATAAAAAAAAGAAAACATTAAATACATGCTGAGAAAGTAAAGCAACAGTAAGAGTGGTGATATCTACATGAAAGAATGCAAACATAAATTTAAAAAAAATGTTGAGACCAAAGAGTAATAAATTTATCTGCATTGATGCTAAATTAAGCCTTTGTAAAGTAATAAAATGATTACTTTTAAAATAAAAGATTTGTCAAAGCTCACATCTTTAGAAACTATATCTCAGTATATTCGAGAAAAATGTTTGCTTTTTATTGATGTGAAAACGCTACTGTAGAAGGAAAAAGTTTAGAATTAATAGATTAAATTTAAATAATAAACTACGTTTTTATATTTGTCTTATAGTAAATTTCCTTAATTATGCTTGCTATGTTTGTTTAAGTTTAAGAGATGCAAAACTATCAGAGCATTTATGTAGCTTGTTTTACTGCATGCTCATTTCACTGCATACTGTTCTACACGAGTGCATGTTATTGAGAAGTTTATTTCATGTCAAATAACTATAAAATAAAACATAATTATTATTCATATCTGTATTCGAAGGCGGAATTATTTGTATAGCATCCTTGCTTGGTACAGGCATAGTCTGAATTTATATAATGGGCATGCTGTTTAAATGTAAGGAAATTAGTATTAAAAGCATTTCTAAGTTGGTAGCATTATTTGCGCATTAACACTGTTGAATATTGCATATCATTTAAAATAACGAAATGCACATGTTAAAAATATAAAATTCATCAGTGAAATGTAAATCTTTATAATATTTTAAAACTAATTAGGTATTTTTTACCTCCCTTCTGCATGTCTTCGTGGTGTAACGCTTGGCACACTCGGCGCTTATTCGAGAGATCCAGGTTCGAGTTCCGGCGATGGCATTGCTCATTTCTCTTGCTTCATGCTTTTAAAGAAAACCTAATATCTCTAAAGCGGAGCCCGAGCTAAAAGGTGGTGGATGATGATTCTTCACCTCAAGGATTTGGTGACTGGATTACTTAATCCCCAGTCGCCCTTTAAAAGGGAGAGTATATACGGTATTTTCTCCTATCTTACAGCATGCTCCATGGTGTAACAATTAGCACACTTGGCGCGTATTCGAGAGGTCCAGGTTCAAGTCCCGGCGACGGCATTGCACATTTCTTCAGTTTCTTATTTAAAAAAAAAAAAAAAAAAAAAAAAAAAAAAAAAAAAAACCCTAATGTCTCTACAACCTAAACAATGTATATCACAGTCAAAAATCAGTTTTGTTTGCTTTATGAAGACTGCATTATAGTATATATACAATCATAATCAATTAGTCAGTTATATTAATCAACTATTGATTCATCTTCGTGGTGAAAAAAGATTATTCCACTCTTACATTTGATAACGATAATGGCAGATTCATTGAAGTAAACGTTTCCCTCATAATATTTTCAATATTGTTGCCCTTTATACGTGATATTAATTTATATATAGGTTCATTTTATACCTTAAAAGAAAACTAAAGAACAATCAAGCCAAATAATAAATAATAAATTAATGAACTACTGTTATATTTATTTCATAATTAAGTTGAAGCCAAATTATATCTAAACTTCGGAAAAATTTGGAGAGTAGTAGTAAAATTTTGAAAAAATGGAAGTAAATTTTTTTGGAATTTTCGGAAGTAAATTTTTTAAAAATTAAATTTGCAGACTTCATTCAGAAACGTCATGTATTCAAACTTAATCTAAAAAACAGACCTTTCGTATAACGCTTTCGTATACTTCGCTTGGACATTATAATTTCACAATACACTTTAGGATTTCATAGTTATCAATACATAGTTTTATAAAAGATAAGTTCTTTTATTATTGTGTACTAGCTGTCTATGGTTTTTGATTGAAACAAATTGAGAAATCTCTGTTTTGTTTCTATAAAACTTTCAAACCGCAATTTATATCATTTTGAGCAATAGGAAATATCAGTAGGCAGCTCTGTTCACTTTTCCTTTCTTATTTATACTTACCAATTGTCTGTAATTTTTCCTGCTTGTGATATCAGAAGACTGTTCAAAATCTCTGACAGGCAGCTTTTGTTTTTCAAAGAAATTTTATAATTAACCAATCAATTTAAAATTCCATTACATCTATTACTACACTTTTTAGACATTTTTATTCGCAGATTTAAGTGATGACTCTTTTCCAAATCACTCATATGTGGAAAGCTCTACAGTTATTCCAATATAACAACGAAAATTTTCGTGTCTTAAAATAGGTACTAATAAGACAATCCAGCTGTAAATTCATATTTACGCTAAGTACTTATTTTATCGCTACTAAAAAACACATTTATTTTTTTTCTTCCAATTAGAAACACTTACCTGTGTACTACTAAACATATAGAACGTTGCGGTTTGTTTTGTGTCGGGCATTTCAGCTAGTACATCAGCTATGATTACTTTTAACTCAGTTCATCTTCTCAGTATTAACTCTTCGCTTTTCATAGGCAATGTCTTTACTTATTGCCTCACAGTAATTCCTATGTAGAATGACTAACCAAACAAGCAAGGCAAACCTTTTTTTTCTCCTTCGTTGTAAGGCCGAAAAGGCGGCGTCTAAGTGTAGCAGATACCATAACTGAGGTCTTGATTTATAACTGTGGTTTTGCTCAAGAAATATAACTTTTTTCTTATTTAAAAAAAATCTGATGTGTACACCACATGACTTCCTTGTACGGAATATTAAATTATACGCATTTTTCTTGAATTTCACTTAAAATTATAGGATTGAATTAAGTCTACTTCGCCGACAGCGCATAAATCACAATAGAATAAATGCATTCTTTAAAATTCATTCTAGTATTTGTTTACCATAGCGACGCTCTGGCGCTAGATTCACTTAAAAATTATTACTGTAACTAAATTTGTATTACTGTTAGTTTGCGGCAGTGCTTCAGTACAAATTTTAAATTTTCGGAAAATACAGTTAGTTTTCTCTTTATAAAACAAATTCTTATACACTATTACGTAAAATAAATCAAGAAAGATAATCATCTATCTATAACGATGACACACTGAAAATTTCATATATGTATGACAAAAACAATTTGACTTATTAAAACTCGAAAATCTGCTAAAATTCTCACTTTTTGTGTTGCGCAAAACTGACGACTTCCCTTCAGTATTATATTTCGTTCACATTATAACTCATAATGCACAAAATTTATATCATTTAAAGAACAGAATTATCTAATCGTTGCCACATGTTCTATTCAAATACTATAATAAAGCTAGAATGATGTATAAAAAGAAATATTAAGCACAAAAAAAAAAAAAAAAAAAAAAAAAAAAAAAAAAAAAAAACAGATTTTCACAGACGATTGAGTATTTCTCATTTAATTAATTCAGTTCTCACTTCGCGAGAAGGCAAAAATACATAAAAACTCAAAATATCTATATTTAAAAATTACGAAGTAAATCTCAAACACTTATTTCTTTTTCTCGAAAAAATTTCAGAAAGAATTAAGCATGATTTAATTCATTGGCAATAATAAATGAATGCGTTTTATCTTTGTTGTTGCGAAGCTTAAGTTTCTCTAGATTGGGCAACAAATCCACTAGTCTCGCTGTTTCAAATGTAAACAAATCAATGTGAGCCATGCCATTTAAAAGTTAAGGCTTAAGCGGCAACTTAAACAACTTTTAAATTGCTGATTAATTCTAAAATATTGCTTGTAGATTTACTAAAGGCATAAAATCCTTAAACCGGAAGATAAAAACAATATAATTTAATCATATTTTTAAAGCAAAAAATGTACAATTTGCAAACATATAAACGGTATATATAAGAGTAAGAAACTGAGATCACTGAGCCGGGTAACAGAGTGGATATATATATATATAAATATATTTATATACGTTTGGTGCGGCCGATTGCAACCAAAATACGAGGTGCACATCTACATGTTATAGCAGTCCTATATACAAAATTTCAACGTTCTGAGGCTACTCGTTTTTGAGTTATGCGAGATACGTACGTACATACGTTCGTACAGACGCCACGAAAAATTCTCTTCAGAATTAATTTTAAAGCAGTTTTATAATTTTTTTTGAAGGAAAAGAGTATTTTTATTCTGTCCTTACGTACAGATATCACGCAAAAACAAAATCGTTAAATTGCATTCGATAGCGGTCAAAATGGATATTTTCGTTGAAATATGCTGCCTGAAACTTTTTGCGATTACAATACTTCCTTTTTACTTCGTACAAGGAAGTAAAAATAAAAAACTTTTAATGTACTATTTTTTCTTTTAGACTAAATTTATAAAATGTCATGTCTCTGAATCTTCACAGAAAAGGGGTTGGCTATACTCATGCTGTGCATGAAAAATAAAATTTATTATGTGTATTCTAATTCAAACTTCAAAACAATCGTAATTGCTGCAAGTATTCAGGGCTTTTAAATTCGAAAAGTTGTATTGATTCTTCGGTATTTCTATGCGGTTCTTTATAAGCAATGTAATTTATGATCCTGATTATTTATGTTTTAGAAAATCCACGATGACTCTCAACGCTATCCGCAGTGGTGTTTAGAGGATTTATTTGTGGGATCAGAAGAGCAGAAAAGCAGGATATCCGGTGTTTCTCCGCCTAATGAGTTGGACGAGGGTTTAGTTCAGAGCAAAACCGCCTGCCCTGCAACCTAATGCCTTAAGCTGCGTAGTAAATAACAGCTTGCAGTGACAGAGTTGGGTTATTCACGCATAAAAATAAAGCCTCCTTCAAGAACTGAAAGATAAGAAAAAAAGACCCTTTTCTGTTTTAAGCCTTTTTATTGAGTTTTTTTATCAGCATATCTGAAAGGTATTCTTAAATTTGTAAAGACGTAATATAATAATAAAATATTATACATTTCTGCAGTTTAGAAGTTAATATAATATCTTGTAATGTTTGGAAGTAACGTCTACTTTTTAACCTGTCGCGATTAGATTCTTCAGAGATTTAATCAGAGACTTGTTTCCCGCTCCTTAGTTTCACTACTAGATTAAATTAAAGGAAAAAAATACCTGACGTGTACACCACATGGCTTCCTTGTACAGAATATTAAATTATACGCATTTCCCTGCATTTCATTTAAACTTATTCCATCGAATTTCATTAAAGATATATTTCTCATTCAATTAATTCAGTTCTCGCTTCGCGGCAAGGCAAAAATACATAAAAATTCAAATTATCTTAATTAAAAATTGAAAGATATATAAAAACATAAAACGCCAAATATAGTTAAAACAATTAAAAAAAAATTTTGAATTAAAATTACAGTTTCTACTCCAGAACAATTCGGCCAGCAGTAGTTAGGCGAGATATATACATACATACGTACGTACGTGCAGACGCCACGAAAAAAATCTCTTCTGAATCCATTTTAAATCAGTTTTATAATTCGTTTGGCGAAAAAGAAATCCTTCATTCTGTCCTTACGTACAGATGCCATGCAAAAATATCGTTAAATTTGCAGTCGATAGCTGTCAAAATGGATATTTTAGTTGAAATACGATACCCAGAATTTTTTGTGATTACAATATCTCCTTTACTTCGTACAAGGAAGTAATTAACGCATAATAATTAGTTCATAGAGTTACTAAATTACTAAAATTAGCCCACAAAGGTCAGCTGCGCCATGAACTATATTATTTAGGGTTTAGAACTCAAAATACAACCCATTTTTCTTTAACTCAATTTATACAGGGTGATTCAAAAAGATCTGGAAAAATTGTGAACACTGTCAGAGAAGGCCGAAATAAGCAGATTTTGTAATGGAATGTGTTGTATGAAAATGATTCATTGAGGTGATACAGGGCACTGTTGAGAGGTATGTTAAAGCATTGTGCTAGCGCAAAAAGTCACTCCCTGTACGAATGTTTTTGAGCGCTATACATCGCTCAACGAAAGCGGGACTCTCATACATGTATTTTATCTATGATTTAAGAAGCTGAAAATATTTTTGGCGTTATAAGCTAAAAATATTTAAGTTTTAAGCTAAAATATTTAAGTTATAAGCTAAAAATATATAAGCTGAAAATATTTAAATTTAAGAATTATATTTCCTAAAACATTTTGAAAATTTTGTGCTTTGATGCTTTCTTTTATCATCAAGACTTATTACTTTTATCGTTGTAATTGCAGTAAATTTACATGCTTTTTTCGAATACGATTACAAGAAGAATACATTTTCTCATTATGTGTGAATAGAATTTAAACAATTTAATAACAGATTAACCAATTTTATCACTAAGCAAATGAGGCTGTTTTACTGAGGAAGCCACCACTCATAGAAAACTTTGTAATTTTGTTGGGCTCGCATTCGCGTTACGCAGTAGAAAAATTACGAAGATTACACATATTTAGCTTATCTGCATGCATTTATTTTTATGATGTTCATAATCGTATCTGTTTTATAATTCCATGTAAAAAGAGAGAAGATAAGATGAAAAGCGAATTTTTAAAAATGAGCAGGCTGTATCCTCTAAGACATGCATTAAAACACTTTTTACCTTATAAGGTATTTCTCCGGCCTACTTAGCATGCCTTCGTAGTGTAGTGGTCAGCACACTCCACGCGTATTCGAGAGGCCCGTTGTTCGAGTTCCGGAGAGGGCACTGCTCATTTTTCATATCTCTTGCTTCGAAATAACCCAATGTCTCTACAGTGGCGCCCGAACTAAAAGGGTGATGATTCTCCCCACCAGGATTTGGCGATTGAGTTCCCTAATCCCCAGTCACCATTTAAAAGGGGGAGTATATAAGGTGTTTCTCCCGTCTTCTTAGCATGCCTTCGTAGTGTAGTGGTCAGCACACTCGGCGCATATTCGAGAGGCGAAGGCATTGCTAATTTTTTATCTTTCATGCTTCCGAAACATCCTAATGTCTCTACAATTTCTTTTGCAAAACTTTTGCGTACTCTGGTCTTTAATACCGCAACTAGCCGTTGTTTAATATGGGTTATATTACTTACTTGACAAGTAAACCCTATTAGATACTGGCTTTATCTTTTTGCAAAAATTATACTTCTGAAAGAAACTACACATTTTGAAAAAGAAAACGCTTTAATAATAACCGAAGGCAACGTGATTAAACTTAATATTTCACACATATGAATTCACTACTTTTATCACACTAAAGTAAACATAAAATCCATTATTTTAACTTTGCTCGCAAACATTTCGCTATGCTGTTGATTCCTGAACTTTGAAAAACTAATCTTTGCTTCAAGAAGACGTCAAAAAGTTAGAATTCAGGAGCGAATAAGGAGAAACTTGCAGTTCTATTTTCGGTGCTCAAACCTGGGACTTGCTTTTTTTCTTAATTTTTTCCCGCTTTATATAACTTAGCGAAATGCAGTATTATCGATCGCTGCAACCGGCAGAATTGCATTCTTTGTGGTTGGAGTTAATAGAAATTTCTAGAATGATATTTCTCGTTTTCTTGCATGCTAAGAATTTGAATTTTATGTCTTCCTTATTTTCTCAATTTAAAAACTCACTATAATGAAAAATAAACTTTTTGCGAATATATTGCATTCTGAATTTAAACAATAAAAGGAGCTACAATGCTTATGCATCTCGAATTTGATATAGATATCATCATCAACTTGTTTAAAAGAATAAGGCTTTTGTCTGAATAGAAAAAAAGATCGCAATTTAGGGTGAAGAACATAGAAATTAAATTTTGCAGAAGAATTGTTAGTGTTAGAACTTTCTCTGTTTGAATCTGTATTTTTAAAACTCTGTCGTCTTGGCTTTTCTCCACTCGCCAAATTTCAGTCATTAATAAATTAAAAGAATTCAAGCATAAAAGTATGAACTGAAGATCTTGGATTATTCGTTAATGTCTATTTTAGACGTTTTAAGATAGTTACCGCTGGGAAGGGGAGGGTCTGAAGCTAAAATGTCTCCATCTATTTAAGCGCTTCAGTGAGTTTGCAACAAAAAAAAAAGAGTTTACACATCCTTTTTCTTCAAAATGTTTAAATTTTAAAACAGAAACATATCGCAACTAAAATTCTTTGAAATGTGAACATGATCCAGAAAAACCGTTATCGAAATTTCGTATCATATATGTAACTAGTATATATTTCGTATCATACGCTAGTTACTGAGTGATACTATGATATTTTATAAGTAGAAAATCTAAATCATTCCTTTGTTATTAGTGAAGTAAAACTGGAATGAGTAAAATGAAAAAAAGGATGATATTAAGAAATTTTCTATGCTCTAAATAGCGAAACATTCAATGATTTAAACTATTATTTATACTTTATATCCCGAATTAGTTAATATTGTTTAAAGTCTACATTAATTTTAATTTCGAATGATATTTATTATGAAATAAAGTTGTTTCTGCAAAAAAGTTCATAACTCAAAAAACTGTAAAATTTACTACACGGTCTTCATGATAAATAAGTTTAAGAAGAAAAGGTAAGAATGCAAAAATTTAAGCAATTTGTAACCTAATACGTTTCTTACTAGAAGTGAGAGCATGTACATTTAATAATTAACATCTATAATTCAGAACTCAGATAATAAACAAGACTAGCTTTAAAGTTTAAAAGCACTACGACACACCTGCTTAAAATAGAATTCTTTCAAACAATTAATTTTATTTTAAAGAATTTAAATTTTTCGTATAACTACAGATATTTAAAGCTTGAAAATTCACTTACTAATAACTTATTGTAATTAAGAAAAGCTTTGTAATTTTCTTTAACATAATTTTAATTATTTTTTAACTTATAATATATAATGTAAACTTAAAGTAATAAAGCGTTAAAGAAATCTGCTTACCATATCTGTAATTTGATCGGCATTCCATCCAAATTAATAATTTTCTGTTTGAAATCAATACCTGAAGAACATGAAAACAGAAATTACATGAGAGAATGTTTTATGTGTTATTTCATGTAAATTTATATGCATCTAATTAAATATACATGAAGTAACGTGTTACACAGCATAATAAATGAGAAAACATTCATTCTTACCTAAATCGATGGAATTAAGAAGATAAAAAAAATGTTTGTGGAGCAGTTAAACAATGGTGCAGAAAACTTTATAAAAATTAAATTCCACATTAGTTTTAAGAGAACATTTGAAAAATGAGGTATCCGGGCTGATTGAAACAATGCATTCCTATAAACTTCTCCTTTGCACTAAAGCATATGACCCCTTGATTGCTCTATCATCGGCCCAATGAAATATTAGGATATTTATGTGGGCGAAATTAATATTGAACAACAAAACTCTGAACTGTCATTGCACAGGTTTTGAAATGTCGCTGGATCATCAAGTTAAAAGAAGTTAGATCATTTAAAAGGACAGATCTTTTATGTGAATCACTTGCTCAAATTAAATTTGTCTCAATAAAAAGCTTATCCTTGATATTTCTAGGTAATGCACCACGTTAATTTTCTAAAACTTAATGCTAATGCACTCTTAGAAAGGCTTAAAAATGAAAACATCTCCAAACTGGGGAACAAAGACCACGTGACAGAATTGCCAAAGATCAGTAGAGCATTGTCCCCGACTTTCTTATATTTCCAGTAATGCCATTGTAGCATTTTCAGTATTCTTAACATTGTCTGATAAAATACAGAAGCACTAAATCCATATATTAGCTTTTTATTTGTTCTTTTTGGTACTTCTCAGCTAATCATAAACATCTGATACGGTTCTGGACATTGTAGAAGAATTGTCACTCTTTATCAGATAATTTTATTTTTGCTTGGATGCTGATGATGACTTTGCGAACTCAGAGACATAGAGAAGTAAAAGATGAAATTTTATATATATTTGAGAAAGCCATCGTGAAGTAAGAATGGATGCAACCATCAATCCAAACAGATGATTATATCTGGTCTTTATTGCTTGATTTAACTGCGGCGTCTAGTTGAAATTATGCTACATACTGCTGAACGTAGCATAATTTCAAAAAGGTATCGTCATACAGGTGCAATATTACTTTCTAACAAGGTAAAATGGAATGCCATACGACATCTTCTACCTCGATATTTATTGGAAATGCAATCGAATTTTCATATGAAGTATCATATGCTCACATTACATGTATTTGCTGCCAGCCAACCATACAGTGAGGTAGTACATAGTTGCAGAGGACAAACACTTATTACATACGTATAAGGAGCTGGCTGTAGGACTACATAGATCATGGTTGTAAGTATTTAATATAAATTTGTCGACTCTTTTATATACTCTTGTACACATAACTTCTTCTACCGAAGCGTATCATGGATACTATAATCATTTCATACCATATTTACTTGAGTATTTGCCACCCTCGTGTATTTCCCCCCCTGCTTGTATTTTAGTACATGTTTTAAAGATTCACTTTTCCCCTTCCTTAAGACTTTCTGAAAGTGAGCTCGACTAAATTTTAAAGTGGATTCGTCTACATAGTGATTATTTTCGCCTTACAAATTGATTTGCTAATGGATTTTTGGGTGTATGGGCTACGATAGATAAAGCAATGCTTCAAGAAAACGAGGATGTCTAGTGTTCTTGATAGTTCTGAATATCATTACATCTGAGAAGTCAGACTGAACGATGGCAAAGATAATGACAACGGTGGTGATCCCGGTTCCAGTAACACTAAATGATTTAAGGCCTAGGGAATAGCGGCAGGCAACAATAACAGCGGGCGAGATTCAAGATGCAGACAATTAGAAATGAAGCTATTATATTAGTATATCTTGTAAAGTTACTATTGCCATGTATTCTTATTACTGTATAGGTTTTTCTAAATATATAGTATTGTGATAGTTACCGCTATGGGTACTCACTCACTCACTCACTGTTACTGTAATCGTGTCCTTCAGAAACAAAATTATTCGCATAATTTTCCCCTCTTGATTTTCGCACGATTAAATTATTTAAAATCGAGGGAAAATAAGCTTCTTGTTCATCATTCCAAATACTACAGTATAAACGTCATATCCATCATTCAAAATAATATAATATTATACTTTGCCATTAATTATTATTACTGTTATAAATATTTCCTCCGTAACTTTTACTTTTCCAAATACATAGTAACTATCACTTTACCTGATTCAAGTACTATCATTCTTTCAAAACAAATGAGATTGTAAATTCCCTTTCGACACGGAAACGACCCTAGGACAGTGACAGACAGACAAAGTGTTTTGAAGATTCATTATCAAAGTGTAAATTTCCTCTTCATATTTTTTAAGTGATCATGATTGGATGATTCTATTATAAGATCATTTCAGTAAAAATCTGAGAATATTTAATAATAGAACATAAAACCCCATTCAGTTCCGTTTCTGTCTCCTGATTCATTATGAAAGGAGATTTAATTACTTATAAAACATTTGGTATAAGAATTTGAATTAATAAATGAATGCTCTAGCTCCTATGCAGCTTGCTGCCAGATTTCTGGTTACATAAAATTTTATTAACTTATTGTATATTTAATTTCTTAAAGTGTGGAGACGTTAAGTAAATATGAAGTCACATCTGAAGACATATTAAAAAAGGTTTCATCTAAGGTTCTTTAATTACTAAAATTATAAAACGTACTTAAAAAAACTGCTGTTTTTAGTATTGGAATAGTGCTTATATGCAAATTCTTCACCAAGAAAACGCTAATTTATAACGGTATGAAAAGCAGGTGAAAATATTGTATTTATAATGAGCAACTGAACAACTACAATTTAATAGATTCATGGCTGTATCATAATTAATATAAAAATAATCCAAAAGTTTGAAATATAACTGTGTAAATGCAGAGATGCCAATTAATGACAAATTTTATTTTAGAAGAAGAAAAAAGTATACCAAAGCTAATAAGTATTGCAACTATCTAAAAACAAAACAGTCATCTAAATATTCCACAGGACAAAAATTTACATTCGCATTTAAATTTTAAATAAATATTATGAGAGTTAAATTTGAAACAGTCAGTATAAAGTTTATTAAACCACCGAAGGTATCTGAAACACATAATTTCGTAATATTTAAAGAACGTTTCAATGTAGTTTGAAATAATGTATTGGTACTATTACGAAAGTTTCTCAAAAATATTTTCTTTAGCTTAAAATACGTTTGCAATATTCTAATTGATTGTAACTTCAAGTTATCTTTCCTCTCAACGCCTTTATTTCATCCAGTGACCAATAGAAGACCACTGAAGAAACACAAGGCCATTGAAGTATACTGAAGAAGCTATACAGTACAGTCATGATTACCCATACTACAAATGCCCACACTATAAAAGCCTACTCAGATAAAAGCCCACAATGATAAATGTTCACACAGATACCAATTTTTTTTCTTGTGCATTATGTTCAGTTTATACAAAGCAGATTCTTATTTCAAAATTTCATCGTATATCGTGTGTTTCAAAAGAGAAATAAGTTCTTAAAATTACTCATCTTACTTCAGTTTTTATAAGCAATATATATAGTATATATCACAGCAGTTTTTGCTACCTCAATAGGTTTTAATTAAACTGTATACCCATTATGTCTATATATTTCTTTATAAATATATTTACATCTCTCTCTCTGTATATATATATATATATATATATGTATGTGTGTGTGCTTGTATAAAACTTTTAGTATTACATTTAAGCCTCGAATATATCTGGCAAAAGAAGAGCATAGAGCAAAGGTTTTCAAAATATGATACATGTACCACTTATGGTACAATACATTATTTTTGGTAGTATAAAGTTTACACGACAGATTTAAATGAATGTAAAATATTTAAACACGAAACATGTAAAACATGAAAGCACAGACATAACCATCTTTGCACAGCTGATAGTTTATATTCGATTTGAAGAAGAACAAGTCAAAAATGCAGAATTCATGTTCTGTGAACCTCTTCCAGTTCACACCACAGCGAATGATACGGGTTTAGCCCTAAAATTTCAAAGTTCCTCAAAATGTAATGAATAAGTGATATTTTCTTGATCTTAATTAAAAAATGACTATCTCATTTTTTACCTTGATTCCTTTTTTTCCAATATACATACAAACCGAAATCAGATACATTTAAAAGCTAGCAGAAATTTTCATGTGTAATGAATATAGAAGACAGCCTTCTGTACGGAATTTTCCGGCCGTAACGCTGAGAGGGTTTTAGGAAAATTTATGTCTTTATCGCTAGCCATGAAATACACTGAAAACAAATGTGTTGGGGTGTGTTCTGACGGTGCACGTGCAGTCATAAGTTGTCGCGGTGGGGTTTCTGCCAAAATTAAGGAAGTTGCACTGGATGAAATGTTCACACATTGTAGCATGCATCATGATGCATTAGATAACAAAACAATTTTCAGAGGACTAAAGACACAGGACTATCAATCTGCAAAGATAGTGGATTTTATTAAATGTTGGGCCTTTAATTCCCAACTGTTTGCAATTTTGTGCAGTGAAAGGAGTAGTAACTATAGTAAACACCTTTACACGCAGAAGTGCGGTGGTTTTCAAGAGGAAAAGCTTTAATTAGACTCTCTAAATTGCGTTCAAAGTATTCCTGAAAGAATCCAAATCTGAACCCTATCATTGTTTTGCTAATAAACTCTGGTTATCATGTTTTACGTATTTGTACGATATTTTTGGAAAACTGAATGAAATGAATTAAGGTTTACAAATTTCCAATATAACTGTCTTTGTTGTACATGACGAAATAAGTGGAACTATGTAAAACTAGAATACATAATTTAGGACTTTATTAAGGCTTTAGAGTCATTAAGAATTTTAGGAGATGGAAACATGAACAATATGCAATGCCCTTGCCGGGATTCGAAACTCGAAACTTCCGATGCCAGCCGGACTTGTTTTCTAATTACAGCCCGAAGAC